ATGTACTTATTTCCAGCACTAGTTTAGAGCAAAGGACCAGCAATATCAACAGCTACTCTTTCTATTGGTGCACCAACTTGATATAACTTCATTGGGGCACTTCCCTTACGCTTTGATCCCCTTTTTTGCACAACATATACTGCAGGTCCTGCACCATTCTTCCCCATCTTGCCTCATACATATCAAGTAAAATCTCTGTCGTAGGTGACTCAATGTCTTCTTAACTCCAATATGTCCTCCTGTTGAACTGTCATGGGATTGACGCAGCACAACTTCCCGTAACTTTCTTGGTATAACTGTTTGCTAGGTCGTCACTTTCCTATCTGCAGTTTCCCACATCCGGAGAAGAATACCATCTTCAAGCTTCAACTGGTCCCACTGAGCCCAATAATTCTTTGTCACAAGGCTTAAGCTAGTCACCTTCTCCCAAGCAGGGCGCAAAACACTTGCTGGTAGAAAATCAATTATTGGATTCAAATCTTGGTCTTTCTCCAGTTCTGCTTTAATATCTATACCTAGTTCCATTTCACCATCATCAACTCCTTCAGTCACTTTGACTTCAGCTTGATGGCAACTGGTTAGTTCAACCTCTCTTTTAACACTTACTGGAACATGGCGTTTGTTGTTCCCAAACGTAATTTTATCGAAGTTAACTACACACTTCCTCGCTTGTAAGTAGTCCAACCTTAGTATGCATTGGTCTTCAATGTCAGCCAAGTATACTTTGTGTCTGTCCTTTATGCCCATGGGCTCAATAGTTACCCACACAGGTCCCCACAACTTTGCATAATGTCCTGTCACACCACAGAGCTTCTGTATGACTTCTAGTACTCCTTTGCGATCTGGCACCTTGATACTCACAAAGGTTTGTTGAGATGCAGAATCTATGACAAAGTTGCACTTTTGGCCATCCAGCTTTCCTGTCATATAGACTCTATGTGTGCTTGGCATTTTACATCTAGCTGTTGGGACTTTCACGATGAGCATCCCTCAACACCAACCACTACTGGTTGTCTCC